CCGATGTGTGTGCATGTTTGATGATTGCTGTTTTCTCACCGACTCCAGACAACCTTTATTACACGGCATCCACTCGAGTCAGCAACACATTCTCCTGAGGACGGCCAGAGCATACTGGCCGAAACGTCGAGTTGAACACTCACCGGTTCTTCTCAGAACCACACCTCTTCCCAAAAGAGAATTTTTACATGGTGTACCCGCAAACCTACATCTTATGTACTTCCGCCATGCAAAGCTTCAAATCTTACTTAGTCCAAATAAATGTTATTCTGTCTCTAATACAGTTCCGTTAATGAGAGGGCTCTTACTATGTGAATAGCAATGAAATTCCCCTGGGCCGGCTTCCGTTTGCTCTGCCGACGAGCACTTTTGATAATTTAGAAACTGCGCAGCTAACAAGGTAAGGCACGAAACATATCATAAAATTGCTGTTTCGTAGGCCACATAACAATTATCTCAAAGTAATCCGATTATCCCTACAAAGCAAAGCAAGGTTATTTACAGTGTACTACTCGTTACTGTTACCCAGACTACCGACATGGAACTGATAAAGAGGCCAGTACTGACTGGCATGGGAAAAATAAACGAAAAACATTGAACTAAGTCAAAAACTTCAACTTTGACTCTGAATCGATGGTATGGTGTCAGTATACTCTCACTACAGATCGGGGAGGTACTTTTAACTCAGTAAAGGAGCACAATTGAATTTTGGGCAGATATCCATATACGTGAATAAAATACTGCGCCGCCTTTTCTTGCAGCCTAACCTTTACAAAGTATAATATGAAACACGGAAATGGCAGAAAATGTGTTAGAGCAATTCAAGTTCATGTCATTTTCCCATGCGTATTAGATAATATTTACTTCTGGTATTATTAAACCTATTGTTTATTTCATGGACCTTAAACGACCCCCACAGCGGAATTTTTTATGTACAAGTACCACTGACGAAAGAAAACTTACTTCAGGATTCAAGACTTTCCTCTTCAAGATAACTGCTATGATTATGGATCCCGACCCCAGGACGCTGCGAATGTCAAAATATTTATATAGGTATATAACCTATTTGCACTTCAAGTAAGAAAAGTTTTAAAGACAAAATGTCGCAATATCCCACACAGATTAATTTTGACTTATAATTACTTCAAAATAAAGAAAAAACAGCAGAAAAGCGAAAACGTTACTAGCACTCACAAAATTATATATATTCAGAAATTATAGAATTAGCTTACAAAATTTTTATTTTCTCATTCTTTTTACAGAAAAGGGGTCATAAGTACCCAGGCATATATTTTGTGTGTGTTGTGATCAATTCCGAATTGTTAAATATGTTTGGACACTAATTTATCTGTGTTCAAGAAGCAGAGTTCAACTGATCGTGTAGGCTACGCTAAATAATTCCCAGGTAATTCCCACGTGCTGATACAAATACCTGGCGATATGCGATGAACCTTGCACCCACCCACTTTACAAAAGTGCATTGCTTTCAGACATCCAGTATACCAACGGATTTGTTCCATAGAGTTATCAGTTATTTTCGAAAACCCTTTTTTAAAATTACTCCATCCCTTCGGAAATGTAGTTCACGAAAGCATTGGTAGGTTTTCTTTTTGATTTTTTAATCTTTGATTACTTACCTAAGGCTTGAAGCCGTCAGCTCTGCAATTCGAACATCTTGTTGCTGTAATAATGATTTCAGTTCATCACACGATGTTAAATTCGGAGTTACCGTAGAAATGTAACACTAAGAAAATTTAACACTATGAAATTGAAAATGATTTGTTTTATATACAAAAGGTGGAGTGTAGTAAAGCAAGAAATATTCTGTTTATCGCTGCATTTCTATATTTAATAATAGATTTTTTTCGGGGACTCCAAGGTTTTCCCGGCATGGATTTCTGTACAATAAGTATTCTTTGAATAGAACACGACAACAGGAAACTAAAAGGGACCTATAGGGCTTTCAACTTGATAAAAATATAAAAAATCGTATATAAACAGAAAACCCACCAGCTCATCTAGATTGAAATAAAAATCAATCGATGGGCTGAATGCAATTCCCGAAAAATTATAAATGAAGAAACAATACACCAGTGTTTATCCTTGATAACAGGAAGGTCAATTGCAATTCCATGTTTTATACATTGATTCACCCTCTTTAATACTATTACTTACTGAGATTTTCTATACAAGCAAACTAAAGGTGGCTTGATTAATATCTAAATTAATGCATTTGGTTATTTTAGTTTCCACGACTGACACTGAAAAAGGAGCTAACGAGGATGTGCCTTCTAATTAATACGGTTGTACATACTGTTTACTATAATTAGAAACTCAGTCATCAGTTCAACAGCGGGTATTAAAACACACAAAAGCTTCAGTCACAATCCTAAGCCTTCGGTGTATGTAAATGATTTTGAAAGCAAATAGCACCAGTAAACATTGGCCTCTTTCGAAGCAACATAGAATGACTGCAGACACCAATTCATTCTTTGTCGGAAGAACGACAGAAATTTTCGTACTTACTTGGGTTAAGTTGAGCACCGAGTAATTGGGGTTGTTAGATGTAAAGTTTCCCATCTTTTTCAAGCTGGAGATGTGTATGTATATAAGCTTCAATAGCCGCCAATCTATTAGCTTACGGTGATTTGAGTTAACGTTTATAATTACAGACCAACTGCTGCCTTTTGGATAGTGCCTATTAATCCTTACGAGGTGAACCACGAATGCATCATTAAAAACAGGTTGGGCTAGGTCGAACGTTACACGGTTTCAGTGAATGATTATATAAATTCGTAGGTCACTGCTCTCACCTTTGCCTGATATCCAAGTCGAGCTTCAGATAAAAGTACACTCTTTATCATCTTTTAGATGAACTTTGGACAAAATGAAAGATAAGAGTGCTTTTCACCAATGTAAAGTGAAGTAAAACTTAGTTTGGATTAGTCTAAAGAATACAACATACACTACTCCCTCGAGGCTTAAGAGATCTTTAAAGTGCATGGATAATTTGTCGCAAGTCGCAATTAGGAATAATTTTGTTTCACTCTGGGCTAAGGCACAAAGAGGAAGCTCTTTTCATTCAATACATTTATTTGAAAAAAAATACTATGCAAATAACAATAATAACAGATCATGAGGACAATAATCAATTTCACTTTTATGTGTCAGCAGCCTTGGCTAGTAAACTAAACAGGTATTACCCTGAATTTTAATGTTACAAATCTGTAGGTAATACAGGTGCTTTGTTTGGACTGTATTACGTTTCTGAAATTAATGCAATCAAGGCAGAAATTATATTAATGAGTTACGTTTAATTCAAACTCTTTTCAAAATAAGAAAGTGACGTGGCTAGAATATGTATTAATCATACAGCATAGTGCCTTGCTTGATCATTGTTTCTAACATCACATGCAGTTGCATTGATCAAGATTTGTCTGTGTATGAAATACACAAAAATGTTAGTGGCAAATCGATATAACAGGATAAACTTTTAGAGTGGACAAAAGTAAAAGGAAAATAAAGCATATATAATATTTCTATATAATATACAAGTTTAATTAATTGCACAAGCTGGATGATGACCAAGAACTTGTTTCTGCAAGGAAAGATATGATGGTCTCTGGCGTCTTGAAATAAGAGTTCCTGGGAACCAGGCGTGGAAAGCGACTCTTTTATCAAATCAATACCGAGTAAAGGTATATTACGCTTTTGTTAGATGTTCTAAAATCACACGTGTCCCTAATGCAAAGTTACAATAAAATGGACCAAGTAGACTCTACATATGATTCTTAGCCACTATGGAATACACATCCAAACAAGAATAAGCCTCTATGGAATTGATACTGATCGTGAAAATTCCTTGAATTCATGATTTCCAAAATTACACGGGAGAGTCTTACCAAAGCCTCACATCCAAGTAAGGTTATATATTTTTTTAAAACAATACTTTAACAGTTTTCAAATAATTCGATCGTGCGCATGGGCCTAATTCGTTTTTATGCATAACAGTTGTCATGGCGACCACCAGTTAACAATATAGCCGACGCCGACGAAACTTCTGTAAATGCATCACAAAATGTAATAACGCTACAATTTACAAGACAACAAATGATTTTAAACGTCATGACAACCCCTTCGATTCTGTCCTCAGCTTGGAGGACAACGGCTAACTATATTCTTGTGATCTTCAAAAAGAGTGCACGGAAGCGAAATGTACGCGTAATGAATTATTAGATGCTCAACACCTTCAGCTTGAAATTATGATAAATGTATTTTACTTCGGACGTACGTGTATTTTAGAGTATATTTCCATATGTGCACAAACCTATATTTCCTCGAAACCTAACTACCCGCGAAATATTGTACACTTTTAACACAGACGGACTACTTTCATCTTTAATCAAAGGTTTAAATCTCCTCCAGCACCCAAGCGTCACTAACCCTGTCAGTAGTAGGTCGGGCCTTCGTATGGGATACAACCTGACCGTCGACATAGTTTCTTTGATTCCTTCTCTTGGTTGTGCAAGCGACAATTAACACAATAATCGAAATTGCCATCAGTATGACAGCAACACCGAGCACAATGGCCATATTCTTACCAAGGACCGTCCAGTAGTTGTTAGTTTTAGTAGATGATGCGCAAGTGGTGATGCTTGATGCGCTGGTTGATAAAGTAGATATTGTTGGCGTTGATGAAATAAGTTGGGTTGCGAGTGTGGACATCATCAGGGTGGTGGTGGGACTGGCACCATAGTCAACAACGACAGTAGCAATGTTGGATGTTTCGCCAGCAAGCTCAGAGTCATCAATTGCTCGGATACGGAAAGCCAGAAATAGCATGAGATCCTTGGGGTCCACTGAGAGCATGGTGGGTATTTTCAAGACCAGCATTTCTTCAGACCCGCTTTCTTGCGGCGCTGAAAGGTCACCGGATATGATGTCACTAACATCGATCTCTTTGGCGTTGCTAAAGTCTGAGAAAAGTTCATTGAAGCTGTGGCTGTACCTGAGGTCATACTCTGCCGCTTAAATACAAAACCGGTAAGAATTGAAAAAGAAAGATTGAAATTTTTCTTCACAACCTCAATGACACAGAGAAAATAGGATTTTGTATCATTTGGTGCCAGTAATTTAATTAAGCAAGATAAAATTTCATTCAACAACAGGACAGTGTATAAAGCACCATGTAATATTCGAGACATCTCTCACAAATAACGAGTACACATGCATTCGCAATGTCTCAGTTTTAATTAAAGCCGAATTATGTCACCGTCTTGAGCTGGTCTCGACTTCGATCATTTGAGTTGGAGATTGAGATGTCTAAATTGGGCAGAAACGTTTTTTGTATGGTGTTATGCGACAGAGCTAGACTGGATAGGGTTAGTATTTTGGAGTACCGATTATGTTATGGAAAATTTTTAGAATAGGATTTTTGAGAGGATCACCACTATTATGTGAAGTATGTAGTACCTGTCCCGATATCAAAATCGTCTCCTGGTGCCGTCCATTGCAGCGTCAGTCTTCCTTCATACCTCGAGAAACTCGCCACTCTCAGATCGTTAACCCGTGCTGGCGGAAACATATCCACCTCGTTCATCTTGTCGGGATCTGGTGCTGAGACTACAGTGAATTCTACGGGTTGAGTGGCTCTCATGAAGGCGTCTACATCTACTAACACTGGTTCTTTTGTGTTATCTGACATTTAAAAGAGATTACTAGGAAATTTCTGAAAACGATCTTACAGTTTCCGAATCACGTGTCGAGAGGATCTGTACATGTAGGTGTTTCCGTTTTCGTTTTAGGTTACGGTTCCTTATATAAATGTAAATCAACTGTAAGCTTAGGTACTTTATTGAAATTTTCGCCGGGCATTGTCCATAATTTTGTTTGAGTATTCGAGTAAAACGTAAAAGTGTGACTACAAATACTGGTTACACCAATTGCAAATCTGAAATATTTTAAGTTACCATCTTAAAATCTCAAATGATTCAACAATTGGGATATCGAAAGCCTAAGAAAATATCTCGAAAATAGCAATTTTAGACAATGAGATATCGACAGCCATTCTTACTCCAATTCTGTGGCATCACTCCTCCTAACGTCTGCGGAAAGGTTATCTTCTTTGCTTGACCTACAGCCTTGTTTTCTACCTCGAATGTAACCTTGTAAATTCCGTCACCGGTGAAACTTATAAAATAGGCTGAATATATGCCATCATCCTTTTCAGTATCTGCACCTGGAATAATTAATAGGAGTTTTCATAATATAAAAATAAATAATTTTCAGTTGCCTCTGTTATACAATAATGCTTCGAAGTAATTTAAGACCCATTTAATAAAATCCATTAACAAAATATTTGTGACGTATTCTTCGTGTCTCTCAACGGAGTGGCACGCAACTTCCAGGTGGCAAGCCCCCCAGTAGATACTCGTGCCCTCCGAATGCCCCATTTCAAATGTCCTACTTACGAGCCTCATGCAATTTTCAAAGCCTCTAAAAAATATGGGGACATCCCTCAATGGGAAACCCCCTACCCCCCACCCCACCTCACCCCCACTCCAAATTTCGCCAATTTGCGATTTGAGCGCACACTTTATTCTTAAAAAAAAATCGTACCCGTTCCAAGATCAAATAGTTCCACGACAATAGATTCCGAAAAAGCACCATCCCCGGGCCGTTCGACCAACGCCTTTACCTCCGCCCTAATGACAGGGAGCTCGCCCTGCGTAACCTCGCAGTATATGATTACTCTTTGTTCCGCTGTAAAATTTACCTGAAGGAACAAAAAAGTACAGGATGCTTAGGGTTCTTTAGTACAAACTCAAATATTCTCTAAGGTATGCGTGTTAAAAACTAGGTGTTAAGTTAAATAGTTCATGTAGGTACATCATAGTTGGCTGACAAAGGTCTACTCGAAATATCTTCCCTAGATACTGATAAAACTGAATGGCACCACTGTTATTTCCAGTAAACTTTAAAAAGTACATGCGTCTACTAATTTAGTGCTTTTGAGTTATTTTAATATCACGTCTTAAAGGGTTACAGAAATAGAAAACATCTAGTTCAAGTAAAGTATTTCAAAATAAAAATAAATATGTAACCATTTCAAAAACATCATAAATTTAATGTCACCCGTTATTGTGACTCCAAAATGAATAAAAAGTTTCTGCATTTCCCCGCCCACAAAGAAATCCCCTTTTGGCCGTTCGCGCTCCCAGGATGATTGAATGACGTCGTCGCCAGAATGACGCATGTACAGTGTACATGTACATAGCGCAGAGTACATGTACATGTACATGCAGTATCGCATGCAATAGACTACGTTGTGTTTGATGAAGCTTGGTCCACAGGCAAAAAGTCTTTAAAGCATGTTAGACTATTATCAACTTTAATAGTTTAGGGTTAGTGAATTGTGCGAGACGTCCCCATTGTTATACCTGAGTTTTTCTGATAATGCCCTTGGCTCGAAGGGGTGGTACTACAGGATCAGAGGGCTTGGAGTACACGTGAGCCCGCATCGTTTGAGGCTGCATATTCATGTTTTGAATGTCGTAAAACCAGGTTCCAGTCTAGTACGACGATAGAGAATAGAACTCAATAACATCAGAGTTATTTATGTACATTAAACATCACAGAGGAGGGCATAATGCACGATTTTGTAAAAACTTTCACTTATTTCCAACTCTGCAATAAATGCTGAGACAAATGCAAAAATATTACTTAAAGTCGTGCAACCATATTCATCACTTGGGTCTAAATGGGCACTGATCGTGTTTTAGTCCAGAACTTACCCAAAGCTTAAGGGGTGACCAAAAGACCTGAAGCTAGGTATATCATTTTTTAAAAGTAAACATTAATCACGTCTCATGAAGTTTCGATCCAGAGACAAATTTGAGAAAATACGAAACCCAAATAGTTTTTTGGTATATAATATAAGGATTGTAAGATAAACGGAATATAGACTCCCGCTGGACAGAGCAAAAATGAGTTGTGTTACATTCAAAACATCTCCGCAACGCATGAATGCGATTTTCTACTTTTGAAAAGATCACATTTTAGGCATTAATTTAATACCAAAAGAGACAATTTCTATCAATTTGTTTGGGAGAATAAAAGAAAAATTGGGGGGTTGCCCTTTTTTTGGAGGGAGGGCCACCCTGTATAACCTGATACCGAAGGAAACCATTAATCTTGCCTGATTTCTAGGTGCAATTATTGTTGGTCTTCTCCTTTATGATCAGAAGTTGTTTGTTTCATTCGAATGAAATTAGTGCCAGCTATCGTTTCAGTGTGTTTTTACACGTTTACTACGGCTGTCAACAAGACTATCCTTTCTGGATAAATGTATGAACATATATATATTGGTTATATATGCTAAAGGGTCTAACTCACATCAGTCCCTATACCTGTGCAATTCCTGTAATTCGAATTTCGATTTGCCGACCATCCGTGTCCACGGAGTACTCTGGCCTTCCAGGGTCCAATATGAATCCTTCAGGTGTCCGCACAACCGCCGTTGCCTGCCCAATCTCCCAAATGAATCGGAAAATGGTCTCATAACCCACAGTGTTGTCAATATGCACGTTGTTAGTACCATTGCCATTTCCGCGTAACATTTCCGATCGCCGGACAATCTGAAAGGGTAGCACGTGCAAGAAAAAATCTCGTTTCCGGAAACCACGGTAAATTTTGACATTGCTATTGCGATTTGATGTTGAAGACATGAAATGTGTAAACATGATACACATATTTCAAATGTTGGATATGATCTGTAGTCAAACAAGAACGGATACGAAGTATTTGGGGCAAATCTGGCAGGCTATTAAGTAAACAAAATTTATTGGACATTAGCCATTTTAGACAAAATTTATATATGGGATTTTATGCATAAAATATAAAGAATCAATATTAGAAAGCAAATTCCTGTGCAGCATATCCTACTGAAGGAGGTTGCACAGTAGTCCACATATTCAGAAAATATAACAAAAAATATTGCGCAGTGCGTCCACTGCGGAATGCCATAGGGTTGTGTGCGGAGCTCCTGCATCATGTACTTAGGTTGTCAATGTTATCCAAAAGTGCAAGAGTTATTGAGAAATTTGTAGTTTTGCATGAATGATAAGTCGTTAAACTGCGGGGCGTTTGCAGCAGTGTCACAGAAATTTACACTTATTTGCCTACCGTTATAAACCTTTCCCAGTCTTGAAACTCTTCGTCTTCCATTTGCATGGTCGTAGGTTTCTCGGTTGCTATGGTGTCGTTCTCGGCAAAAGGAATGAAGAAAGAGCCACCGCCACCCTCGCTGGGTAGGTGAAAGTTCTCATCCACATTCGTACTGTAGGCCAAAGCGTCCACATCTACTCCTTGATTTCGAACACCTTCAAAGACCTCACTAAAAAAGGGTGCCGTGTCCTCTAAACCGTCACTCATCACAAGAACCACGCCTCCTGCAGGAGACTCGCCGTTAGTTGACAATGCCTATTTGCGGTAAAAGGGATCATTTCTTTATCCTTTTTTTCAATTTTGTAACTTATGTTGGTTTACTGACTGAAATTTAGTGAAAAACTAATGCATTAGTATTTGGGGTGGTACAAATTTTTCAAGGCAAGTATTCTCATTTTCCACACCTCATAAAAGTCCTGACGTAACATTGATTAATTTTGCTATATATTTTCATAGAATAAACACATTGTGACTCTACGCATTGTTTGACCCATTTTGACCCAATGGAACTCATTTTCATTGGATCTTTTGAGCAATTATTCAAGATACAGCAAATAGAAATGCTTGGTAACAACTAGCTGAAATTAATCACATGCAATGAACGAACTGCAGAACAGTTTGCCTGAAATTCTCTATGCTCAGACTGTTATGCTTAATACAGCTCATGTCGATGCCTGCAGGAAGTGTATTGTGTCGTTAATACAAGATACCTTGTTAGTTTTTGCTTACATCTTTTATTACTGACATTGAGACACTCACCGTCAGTGCTTTCAAAATTCCCGCTCCAATACTAGAATTGCCATCAGCAACGTTAGGTAGTTTGTCCACCAGTTTCTGCCGGCTACTCTTGTATCTGATACAATTTGATAAATGGTGTTACAGCGTTTGGGTCAGCCTCCCCCTCGCCATTATGATGGGCTTTGTCCAAAGGTTTAAGGAACCCCCCAAAATTTTGTGTGTACGATTATGAACGGAACAAAGAGATTACATGGCTTCAACAACGGCGACAAATACAGTGCTCCCTGCACAAAAAGAATCGAACTCCCCTGTTAAGTCAAAATGATCTTTTACCGATATTTTAATTTGTTCAATGGGCACACTATCTAGAAATTTCGATTCATAGTTTAGGAGTCACCGTGTAATTTAGTTTCAGTGCACACGTCATCCCAAAGTCGTAAGTGGAATTCATTCAATGCATTATTTAAATTTACTTTATAGGCTCTAATGGGTTTTCTATGAGTATTTCGGGATAGGTTTAAGTATTTAATGAGGTAGAAAATATAGCAAAAGCAGAGACAATTTACAAAGTTATGGTTGTATGCACATGTCAAGGTGTAGGGTTTATCGGGCATCATGCACATGTACAACTGCACACAAGGTTATTATCATCCATCCTGTTAATTGTTTCTTATTCTGTGATTAGTTATGATTGCTTAAATTTTATTAGATAAACAAATTGTCGTTGTTGATTCATGTTGTTTAATTTGTAACTATTAAAGGCCAAACTCTGTACATTTGTGTACTTTTTGTCGACAGATTAAACCGTGTTCAGCGTGTTCACGATCACCAGCTAACATTCATGTCAAGTTCATGGCATGGACATCCGTCATCCGTCACACCCCCACCCTGGATAATAGCCCTATCAAGAACGTGCACTTTGGATCACAGAATGGGAAAGTTTTCAGGACAGAAGATCTGACTTTTTAATCTTTCGAGATTTGCAAAAGCGGTAGCTTTTATCCACTCCCTGCGCCTCTGTCTCTGTCTTCATGTTAGCAATACGGACGATTCACAATAGTGCGCCTGCAAGAGTTTGCAACGCGTTACAATTGGCCAATCACAATGCGCTAAATTCTTCGACCCAATGCGCGTTTGTAAAGGATAAGCAGATTTCTCGCGTTGTAATTGGCCAACGTGTTGCAAAACCTTAGAGGCGCACTATTGTGAATAGCCAGTATTGGGGAAACAGAAAATATAAAGATCACCCTCTAGATAATTTGGAGGCCTATGGGCTGTCTCATATCTTTTTTTTTTTTTAAATATTAACCCTACACGGCATTGTTTCCTCTGATTTCCTTGGTGCCAGTTGGACGCTCCATTTTGGAGAGTGGTATTACAACTGTGTGAATTGTATTTGTTTTGACCCAAAAGCTGTTGTAAATGGTTCAAAGTTGCTACATGGATGTCCTCCACACTCCCAAAGAACAGAAACGGCATTGAATTTTTTTTTAGGTAACTCCCTGTGTATACAGGGAGTAAACCAGGCTTTTGAGCAGAACAGAGGTAGGATATCATGGAAGGTTTTGATAGTTGGCCGTATTTTTTTAATCAAGTAATTCACAAAACGGCACTCCAAGTTAACTCTGAAGTTAAAGGGAACTCAAAATTGTTCTATTAGAGCAGAACGTTTAATAGGCACGTACCTTCTGAGGTCGTACCTCATGAGGCTTACCTTATTTTTGTGAGTGGCGCCAAAATTGATGCAGAGGCATTAAATGCTACCAAAGCCACCCAGGTATCCATAGGCAGAACATCAGTCAAGTAATAAGCGCTTGCTCGGAGGAGCTTTTGAAACTTTCTGTTATCCTACAGGTTGAAGCATTGACATAAACATAAAAAATTATTCCATTCAATTTGCAAAAAACAAAATACCGGTCTGTTTTTGTACAACTGCTTCGCTACTTTATTTAAACCAGTGCAAGTTAAATAGGTCAACAAGCAACTTAACTGCAACTTACATTCATGCTTTTAGACGCATCCAGAACCAAAACTACCCTCATCTTCTTCACCCGCTTAACTGTGAACTGGGGAAGTGTGGAAGCGACCGTTCGAGTTGGGTTAGCACCATTAGCGAAGTCCTCTGTAGCCAGCATAACATCCCAGGCACTTCGACTGTTGCACAGAGTGTTGTGACGGTTTGGAGCTTCGGGGTTATGCAGGGATCTCACGTCACCGCTAACATTGCTATGGCAAAATCCCGTAATCTGTCGGAAATCATCACAGAGCAGAAAAGCAATGCTGGTTAAATTAAATTGAAATAACTCGATGACCAAAGCTATCAGTATTTAAAGACTGCCAGACAATGAACTAAATTTCTCGTCGTCGTTTGACAATGCAATGTATGTAACAATTCTTTATTACCGGTACCGAACGGTAATGTTTCCTTCTGTTTAGTTTATTCTACATCTAACGCTTATAACCTCTCAAAGTAGGGTTCTTTTTAGGAATTGGACACAATTAACCCAAAAATCCTCTGATTTCAATATAATTTAACATACACTCTAGGGGATGAGGGTTAAAAAAATAGAAGCATCAATAATAGCCTACTTAGCCATTTTGATTTCATTGCAGTCGTAATAAAATCTTCGAAAAAGGCCCGCCTTTAACTGAATGGTGAAATTATAAAAGAATTCAAATTCCAACATTTAGTAACTTACATGATGCACGTATTGGGGAGAAATAGGGTACCCAAAATGGAAATTTTAGTCAGATATACACTGATCACGTTTGCCGAAATTACCCATCAAATTTCACCTGGTCAACGTAGTGTGCATACATGAGTGAGCCCGATGCGCCTTGAGCCTGAACGCCATGTGGTTGAAATCGGCACCTATGGTCCGGTAGGTGTCCCACGTTGTCCCAAATCTCACACTGGATATCAGCTGCAGGTTCCCCAAATGTCGGCCTTTGTTGCAGGTATGGCAAAACATCTCCAGTCACGGCTTTTGAACATCTGGTAGGTTCCACACTTCCGGTGTTGGTGAGATAAAAATGATGATCATTCGATCTGCTTGGGTACTCATCAAACAGACCCCAACGAAGGTGTCCCCACTCGTGCACCAAAACTCGACCTAAAATTTGAAAAGAACATCTACAGCTACCAAAGCGAAAACAAGTGTTGTCCCAAATATCATTGCCTGTAACCGAAGTTTCTCCCATGGCACCATTGCTAATCAACCAAATCATCAGAATCAAGCATTTTGGACTTATTTATTTACTGCAAACTGACTATGTGAAAGTTATTAAATTCATTCTAAATATTGTAATAGCTATCATTTCTCCTTATATTTAGTCATGACTTGTAAATTTACATATCTATTGGAGCTGGGAGAGGCTATTTGCCCCCGAAGACAAGTTACAATATTTTAGTGAAAGTGAATATTAAAAACTGTTTTTGAAAACAATGGATTATAAGCTGCAAAGACAGTCCTGTATTAGGCGAGCTGGAGGTCTAAGGTCTATTTGAATTGAATTTTGGGCTGACTTCGAGTGGCAAAAGGCTGCGAAATATACGCTACACTACGAACACTGTGTTTCGAACGAAAGCCCTGTTCTTGTGGGCGCAAACCATATTCTCAGAAGACAAACAAAACCTTACTGAGATTTCCCCATGGCCCCTGGTTCCCCTGCCTAATGAGCTCCTTCGTTAGATGAAGATAGGACCCTTCCTCGCCGCACATTCCTGGTTGCTTAACAAATGGCTGAGCTGGTATGTAGCGATTGGCCGCAGTATTTACGAGTATATTAGCAGTGTAGAAGCTTTCAAACATTGCTGGGAGGTAAGAGGGATCGTCGGCCCAGGACTGCGGGAGGAGGATAGTAATATCATGGAAGTACACTCGGTGATCACTCGCTTCGTAAAGGAATGCTGAGGCCTCTGTAAACATAACCTGTTGAGAAGATTTAAATTTAATTTAAACTCTACGGAAAGGTTGAGAAAACAGGAAAAAAAGGGAATCACAATGAATAGAAAATACGTGAACAATGCAAACGTTGTAGTTAAAATAGGTCTGTGAATAGGCGTGGAAAGAGCCTGTGCCATTTGTTTGGAGGGAAGGAATTTGCAAATTCTTCTATAGAACCATTTTGATTTATTAAAATATTTCCATAAAATGAAACTATTTATTAACATGTTTAAGCGGAATTATTGAGAATTATTTTACATTGAACACGGTATATGAAATGAAAATTTCAGTAACTCTTGGTAATATTATTATGTTCTTTCATCAAAAAATCACTCTTAACTTGGATAGAAAATAAATTGGTATTAAGACGAATACATTTTTACAAGTTAACATTCAAAAAAAGAACAATATACAAAATTTCAAAATTCATCGACTCAAATCTTAAGACAAAAGAGGCTTCAGCCTCAGGAGACATGCCTACGTCATAATGCAAAAGTATGTTGGCCTGAAGTGGACCAATAAAGCATCATCCACAGTAACAATGTTTTACTGAAGCATGACCCTAAATTTCCCTGAAAATCGGAGCAAGTTACTGGACGGCAAGCGTAATGTCTCAGCTGATGATTATGCATATGACATCGTGTTCAATTTAAAGCTCGTTCTGTTCGAGGTGATGAATGTAACACCTTTTTTGCTACCAATTTCTCTGAGGGAGAAAAATTTATTCCTGTAAACTAATTATTATTATACTCAGCAACTGCATAGTAACTTAGGAAAATCAATTAACATTGATCGCTTTAAAAAGGACTTATGTGAGTCTGCTTTTATCTGTGACCCACCAACAAAACTTGACTCCTTGGTTGTTATGTATAATACAACTTTGCCTTTTGTGTAAGATAGACTGTTATCACCCGTGATCGTGTGCCTTGGTTTACTGATGATGTTCGAGAGGCAAAGAGGCTGCGAAGGCACGCAGATCGGAGCGTAGATGGAGATTATCAGGCCGTGAGGAAGATCTGAAAGCATTTAAATTCCAGAAGAACAAAACCACGTTTGTTATGAATAATGCATGCCTTGAATTTTACGTGGGTTTTATCAATCATAATTCAAAAAATAAACGTAACTTATTTTCAAGACTTCCTTATCAGAACCTGTGTTCTACTTGTGACTTTTTTTTTGAGCGATTGGAAGAAATTCGCCTTGACCGAAGCTTGAGCTGAATCTGATTCCTAAAAGGATATTTTGCGAACTAAGTCTACAATTCAGTATTTGGGGTTACCTATTCCCTATATTTTCGAGACAGCACGCCTGCATGGGTCCCTTGCTTTGTTCGTCTGTTTCTGGCTCTTTGTTGAAGATGAATTTATCCTGCATTCAAGCTTATTTGCACCGTCAAAGAACTGGAGTCGACCTTCGTGGCAGAGCTAGCCCAAATCCTCCCCCGAATTTATATTAAACTTGTATAAGATCTGATAATTAAGCATTACCCTTTTCTAATCATTGTACATTGGTACCCAAAGTAAAAAAAAGTTGCATAATTAGATAATCACTGTTTCCTTGCTCGTGATAAAATTGAGATCTTGTTTGCTTTTTCGTTGCACTCAAAAAAAAATCAGACTTTTTTAATACATCGGAATCACTGATACTCTGCAGATATTTGGATCATAAAAGAATGAAACCAACCTCAATGCCCTACACGAAATTCGACCCAGGTGGGAAAGCAAGAGACATGTATACAGTGCATGAACTTATCTGAATCCATGAACCAGGGATGGAAAAATTACCATTTAAATCATCAAGGATATGTACAGGAGTTTTAACGACCCGACTTCTCCAAAATAATGACGATGTTTCAAGGGGACGAAATTGCAATAAGGAATGCTTTCGGTCTCTTCAAACAGGCAATATTTTGAAGGGAAAGTACAATTACAGGCCTCTACTTATGAGAAACTAATTACATGTATAACCTGAACCTATAAGATTGCTTTCCGGTCAGTGACTTGGGTGAGTGGCACAAGGAATGAAGAAATAAGCGTGATCAAAATTGCTAACACGCAATTCTACAGGTACAGACATGTCAAGGTGGAAATACCCCTCTCCTCTGAGAGGGCAGCGGCATATCCAAATCCCGAGTAAGGGAATAAAAGTGATTTTTTTTTATTTATCCGTGTAAGATTCCTATTCCAGTTGCTCTCCCATGCATGCACTATTTAGATGCACACATATAAGATAACCATGTAAATTATAAAATCGGCCCTCTCCAGTTTTCGAACTTCCACGGCCATTTACACCTTTTAACATTAAAATCTAAAAGGGATTCCTTCCCCTTCTCTTTTAAAGAAATTACTAAATTGCCTAGCTTTCCAATGTTGCACAGTAAATACGTGTGAAGCGCTGAGCTCAGTATCGCATTTGGGTAATAAGGAAGTGTTACTAGGGAAAGCGCCTTGCTTTTCGGAAACATCATCGTCCCCGTTTTCGTTGTAGGAAAATCGTTGAATTATTAAATATGCCACCAGCTGAGACCGATGGCTTCGTTGCTGAACTGAAATTACCTGGAGACCGAAAGAAGTGTGACTAAAGACCTCACAAACAGTCACACTTTGTCTACCTGTGCACTTTCCTATGGGGACTCAGTAGATCGCTTCCCACTGCGTATGCATAGAACAGTTTTATCACGTTCTATGGTTTTTCAAACTGGAACTACCCCAAGTGGCATAATGATATGTTGAAATCTTATTGGCTTTCAAGTAATATTGGGGAGAGTCACTTGGACACTGTGGAAATACGTTTGTTTTCATTCATGTACTAAGGTGAAAACAAGAACGTGCGACATGTACGTTGCGCAGAGTTACCTGCGTGTAGTCGATTAGTTATAGCTTCGATCGGATGGGCCTGATGAAAGTTTTGTTGGAAAGGTTAGATTAGACTTCAGAATTTTTTGTACACGCATTTTATTCCTACAGCTTACTTTTTATTGTCAACTGTTAAACTAACTTGAATTCTTACCCAGTGACTGCTATAAAATAAGAAGTGCTATTAAATAAGTTGCAACCGCCCATCTGAGGATGAGTAGTACGCGTTGACTCGTAGCACCCGAGTCAATTCATGCTAAATATCAACCACAGTTATTATCTACCTCTCATCTTATCTACATACAACTCATCTGTAGGGCTGTTCACGTTGAATTGTCGCAGAGCAAAAAAATTACAAACTATTATCACAATTAAAATATCACACAGTATGGATGAATTAGTAAGCTTTGCAGCAATGAATATTTATCAGTTTTATGCAGTTTCCGATCCAGAAATAATGTCATGACACAATAATTGTCACAATGACGTTCTGAAGTATATTTTCGTTGATTAAGTAAGTTGGTTTAGAGAACCATTTCAGGAATTGGCTAACTGATACAATGCTAATTTTGTATTTTTTACACTCTGGCGGCTGTCTAACAGATAACAAAGCCATTGAATTAAATCTGAAATGGCCGGTATATGTTTATATTTTTTTCTCCAATTGTACATGGGTATTTTCTGCTAGCAACCGGTTTCTTCCGTCTTATGTGTAGGAACGTGGGACGCGCACGATGCTCTTATCTATAATGGTGTGATTACAGTGGATGGTCAGTTGTACGTTCAAACAAAGAGACCTTTGCCAACTGACACCCTGAATTTAAATTTAGTGGGGGAAAATGTTTACAATCAAGCTGGCTGGGAGGTAGGGCAATTAAACATCTACTCATGTGAGCAAAGGAAAAACTGGGCAACTTGGAAGGATTTAGTTTTTTTGCACTGGCCAATAAGAACAGTCACTTAATAAAGACCAGCATGCTTTCACTCTTTCACGTGAATGTGTTTACATTAAAAAGACGGACCTTGGAAATGTCTTGTAAACCCTTTAACCGTTTTCATTCACTCATTCTTTTTTCAATTAGAGGTACATTAGCAAAATCGTTGGACACTCGTTTTCCTATCTTTTTCCCCTTTAACTGTATTTTGGGGACCTATTGAAAGATGTGTTCCCGAACTAATTCTGAATTACATGAACCAACTTCAGAATGACCACTTTGAAATGAAACATGGTTTAATATATGATAATTTTATGTGTCTTTGGTCTCACTAACTATTTGTGTATTTAAAGACCACTTAAAAGCATGTCGTTTTGTGTGATTTTGGCAACCATTCTTCGTATCCGTGTAGCCTGCAACTAGAAATCCCGTCAAAAACCATTGCATGGGTCATCAGAAAAAATATATTAGTATTCATCTCTGCTCACAGCCATCTCAATTTGTTGGTACCAGATTTTACAAATTTGCGAGATTCACTTCTACCCACTGGATTTTATTTGGCTGATAAATCAGCAAGGACTGGGAATATAGAAAGATAATCAATTTATCGCTGCTAAGAAAATTGTCTGCCCAAATTCATCCCGCCTTGACCCTCACATTGAAACAGACATGTACATTCTCAATAAATCGGTAAAATCAGTCAATAGTTCTAATGATATAAAATATTTCTGTTTCCTGCAACAGCTAAACTGAACGGATTTTTACTGTCTGTGACTAATATGCTACTGAAGCCACTTCTTTAATTTTTCACCAATCACGACAATTTCATAATTCACTGGTCATTTGTTTGACCTGTAGTGGACATCCAACATCTGAGTAATTGCAAATATATTTCCAGGAAACTCTTTCGGTTGATAAGGACAAATTAAAAAAGCAAATTAAAACTGCCACAGTTTTTGCCCAATTGCATGCAGTATTCATTTGCCATAATTACATCCGTTTCGATGCAATCGGTCGCTTTTCGAGGTATTAATTGTAGTGAAAAAAACCGTCTCCAGTATTTTTCCTGAATCGATGGTGGAAGCGCAGTCTTTCAAAAAAGCTATCAGTCATGACTTGAAATGCCCAATGTCGATGTTCCTTTGTGTATACCAGTTAACCTGCTATTCAATTTTTCTTTTGCCAGTTTATGGTCGTTTTTGGGTGCCTTTAGTGTTAATGCAAATTTGAAAATAAGAGCATAATTGTGATATAATCTGAACAGCCATTCCATGGTGAATCGCGTGACATTTGGACAAAATGTTGAGTTTTAATGCAGTACTGTTGCTAACATGGCACTTATTCACCTCAAATTACCACGTAATTAAGACAAGGCATTGTGAATGTATCTCTTAGTTTTTTATTTGATCACTTTAAAATGTTTGTTGTTTTCTTTATCACGGTTTCTTTGACGTGACTCGCGTGACAGGATAGAAATGGGGATTTTTCATATCCCTTGATTCTAAAAGCATTTCCTATGAATGTACAAATGTGCTTAAGTAAATTTTTACCGAACTAAAAACTTAATACTCTGACCTAATCCATGAAAAGGTTACATTGTACAAAGTCTCTCTTGTTGTGAGAAATGGCCTGAAGAACATGTGACTCGCGTGACGCAGTAGCGTTTTACTTTTACATTATAACTGTAATAATAGTAAAACAAATCAAATTATAATATTACATTAATAAAAATGATGTACCTCCAAATACATTATGGAAGAGTGTGAAAACTGCTATTTTTCCCTTTACTTTGGCAAATGTTTGGATGGAAATCTGGTATTTAGCACAAGACATCATGTATGTGGCCTGTCAAGACAAAATGAGAGTAAACTCCCATCCCACTCTTTCCTGTTTTGAGGGTTCAAAATTTTATATTGGAGTAGAGGACAATTTTTTGGTTTTGTGATATTTGGAAAGATTAACCCACCTCCTATTTAATTCCAAACATTTTGCAGAATCACATATTGTAAAATGTTATTTTCTTAGCAATTTTGACGATGGCATTATTTGTGCCTGGTCTTAAATGTTGAAACAATGTCGGGAACAAAGACGCAAAGCTGCAAGAATAAAGCCACATTGTCAACTAATACATTTACCCTAAGTGTTCCATGTACATACTATTAGAAAGCTCTTTCTGCTGAATTCAAGAATACCAATATCTCAGTTTTTGAAAATTCTGACTTTCAGCTCATTTAGTGCTGACAGGTCATATATTCGTAACAATGACATTGAGTAGAACTGCCTCTGAATTTAATTGAAGTGAGTGTCATGAATTCCACACGATTATTTCAGAAAAAGAGTTGTAATGTTTGGTTTGTCCAATGCTTTTTCTTTTGCACTTTCAATGATCTCCTCATTGAACTGCAGCTGTCCCCTGTTGTTCATCAGGTTGGATTGTAGCACTGTGCACAGTATATCATCTACTGGCTGCCAAGATTCTTCAGCATCTGCTGGCAAGGGTGTCTGAATATATGCTTTCCCATCTTACCTACATGAACATGTATTGTACATGTACATACATGTATGCCCATCATCATACTTGCATGTATTGTACATGTAATTGACAGAGTTTACAAAGGAAAGAGCTGCAACTAATGATGCAATTGTACTGGAATGTACACGTAGCAACAGCATTATTTATTTGGTAAAAATCTTTAATTTCATTAAAACTGATTCAATGTCATGTTTTCACAGTGAAAATTACACTCAATTTCAATTCCTGGCGTGTGACTTGCTTGACATACAGCGCATTTGTGACTTGCTTGAAACTCTTGAAAGAGTTTTTTTCTACAAGGAATGCAAAGCAAATAAGAATATTAATGCTTTTATTGATAAACCACTACTAGTTGATTTACAAATATCAAACACTAGCTGAATCTTTGTCTAGTTTTTAGTAATTAAAAAAAATTGTCAAATTTTGTGACTCGCGTGACATATTTTGAGGGTGTTTTCATGATTAAAACCTTGCAAAATACAAAAAGCATTTGGAAAAACTTTCGATGTTTTATCAAATAGACTGGAATAGCTACCTAATGTATGCAGATAAAGTAAAATCATATGAATGAGCTTCAATTACTTTCTAAGTTTGTGATTTGTACCCCTGCTCCTCCTTTTTGACCACAAATTTCATCCATATTCAGGAGACTGTAACCTAAATAAAAAATTCTTTGATTTAAAAGTTCTTTTGAGATTTAGATGGTTTCAATATTCAAATATCAAATACAACTGAGAAAAATTTATTTGTTTCACTTCAATTTTTAAGTTTGATGATGACCCCTACACGGAATGGTTGTGAAGCAGAAACCACATTGTCTTACTAACATTATTTATTACACTAAAAATGGCCAGAATTTGGATATTTTACTGCCGTAAATTTCGTTTCCCTTTGTAATTCATCATATCTGTCTATGATAGTAGGCTAATAAGAAAAGATTTCTCATAAATCTTTTTAATAAGCACATTTGAATTCACAAGTTGAGAGAACAATTCAACGAGTAAACTCATCTTCCAGACATTTTAGCATCCGAGTCCCAAAGAATCAGGATGAACAGCTAGGGGCAATCTGAAATCTTTAAATGGCATAGCGGTTTATTTAGCTGATAGCAGAGATACAAAAAAGTTGCACAAAACATTGCTCAAGTCAAGATTCACATCAAGCACCTTGAAGCCTTAGAATAGTTCAAGGCATGCATGCATGCAGTTAAATGTGCTAATTTGGGTACTTTGTTAAGTAGAATAGAGGCGTACACGGGTTGAGGTCGAGTACAAAATCTAGCCAGTGGTGAGGGGATCATGAAAAGAACTGGTGTGCTCAACGTTTTGGACAGTATACTCTGCGACGGACAGGGCTCCTGTCTGAGAGTGTGAAGGGGACAACTGATTTGTTTTAAAATATTCAAAACTGTTGTTCCTTGAATTTGCAGCCAAAATGAGCATCATGTTGCTGGCAACTGTTACAATTAGAAAAACTGCACACACATGAAGAGCTTTATGAACTATACACACAAAGCGTGCGTGTACATGTACATGGTGTTATTACTTTAAGCAAGCAGTTAGATTTGATTCTTCAGATTTCTTAATTTTCAAACTTACAGAAAAATAAATAAATAAAAGAAACTATTTACACCACACAAAAAGTAAACGACAGCTACCGGTATAAAATCAACCACATGTTTACTTCAATCAATCAAGTAACCAGCATTGCCGATTGATTAAATCGATTAAATGATCGGTAAAGCAGTATGTGTGCCATTAGGGGGGCGAGTTACTTTTATATGACAACTGATTTGAAAAGAAAGATGACTCACATATCACAATTACATCGACAGATTTGCATTTAAGATGTATGTCACATTCCTACACCACTTTTTCATCATTTACCATTAATAGTTTAATTGTGTCAAAACAGATGCAGAAAGATAAACAAGATAACCTCGAAAGAGGTTGTATGCGGGGAATACGAGCCTAGTTGCAACGATATTGAAAAAGAAAAAACTGTATTATTCTCTCCTGAGAAACCATACAAGTCTACAACGCTCTGTACGACCAATGTTATACGGTGATGTACACTCCTAACGCCTCGGCCCCTTTTCATGCATATTACTCTAACTAAACAGTGCCATCGTATTCTACACAATGGTGATTAAGGTGATTTAAGAATGTGATAGTGTATCCCGAGAAAACTTTATAACCATTACATTAAGATTATATCTAACGGTATTTTTATGTCAGTTTTAGGAACCATTTTTTCCTCAATATAGATGTGTACTCTTAAAATCCTAAGTTTAATTAAACTATGTTAAACTTTGTTCAAAAGGTTACTAATATCCATTGAGTGAGTGGTCATATTTTTGAAATTATATTTTACTGGCATTTCTTTTTCTACTGTGCGTGTTTCTCATTCTACAAGCATGTTTAAATTTTGCAGTTTCAATTTGTCTACACTATACATCTTTTTTTATCCTGCTATCGAAATAGAATGTTATCAAGAATTCTTATCACAACTATTACTGTCTGAGTGCAGTAAATACTTAAGAGAGAGGTTAATAAGCGAAAAGATAAAATCGTTGCAGATACTGATAGCGTGCTTTGTATAAAACCTAATTCTTATTGTGTTAACAAATGGCCACTTCAGCTGAATTGAGACCAACATTTATTAGTACCATTACACACGGCCAAGCTAGAATTCTTCAAGTGCAATTTCCTGTGCGTCAAACGCCCAATCAGCTCCCGTGAGGTGACGCTGGGACCAACTTGTTTGAAACTTCGTAGAGACATTTTTTATATTTGAAGGTCACGATAACCCGATGCGACAAAAATTCCGATACCACCGTGACTCCAAGCAATGATGTTCTAGCAGGCTGCGTCCAAACAAGAAACCTGGGACAGAATCTTGAACGTGAATTCAAATTTTTTCTTGATATTCACTTTTAATAAATGCAGAGTTCAAGCGTTTACACTTTTAAAACTCAGTTTGTTGGTATCATTTTGGAATGCCGGGTCAAAATCTCTTACGACTGTATTATGCACTTTGAGCAAAACATCATGGAATTTGTCTCTCTGTCAAGCTAGAATGTGCCCATTGTGACAATGTGAAGGAAATTTAAATTGCGTTTATGATGCTCCATCATGCAATATGCAATTTACGGCAATTTATTTTCATTTTTTGTGCAGCAAATGCAGATTATTTTACTGCCGTCTTCTAAAGCACTTAAACACATGGATACGATAGAACTCTCTTATTTTACTCTGCGTAGCTGCATACATGATGGGGTTGATGCAAGAACTAGTAAACAGCAAGTTAGCAACATGGACACGAGTCTGGTATGTGTAACAAGAAGGGCAAATCGGCGACACAATGCCTGCGATGATGAGATACGGAAGAGTGCATGCAACGAATACGGTCAGGAGAGCAGCCATTGTCACTGCTGGCTTAATATACCGGTTGCTCAGCGTGGTCTGGCGGCGGCTTTCAAAGGTTTCGTTCTCCTTACCCTCGACTCCAAAAGCAGTAGTGGCTCCGTCGACAGCCGGCGCTCGTGATTCGAGCGATGCGAGGCCATGAGTGGTGACTACGGTGCTGCGTGTGACTGATGATGAAACGGTGGTCCAGGCTGTCCGTCTTGATGAACCAGACGCCTCGGAATCACCAGGGCTAAACTCCCCAGCTGAATGAATATTCCCCTTCAGTCTCTTACGGAGGTGCAACATGAAACCTAGACTACACACAGCCATAATGGAAAGCGGAATAAAGAACCCACAAATGAATATGGCCATGAGGAATGCTTGGTTCAGCTTGACTGGAGGCAGGCACACGAAGTCAAAGTTGACTGGAATTGGTGGGGGGAGCGCATCAGTAGCCCAAAGGACCATCTCGAGGAGTGAATTCAAGATGACCGAACACCACAAAAAGAAAATGGTTCCCTTGACAGTTTTCTGGGACACGATAGCTAGATAGCGGGAATAATCTTTCGAAACCAGCAGAAACCGATCAATGCTGATGGCAGTGATGATGTAGATGGCTACTGTCACTCCGATATTGGCGAAGAAGGTCTGGATCATGCAGACTTCCTCCCCTAGAGGCCAGTAGCCCAGTGCCGTCTCCAGGGCACGAAGAGGAAGTACCACTAGTCCGACCAGGAAGTCGGCCGCTGACAAGCTGACAAGGAACAGATTACTAGGCTTCTGTCTCAGGCTGCGATTGATCCAGAAAGCAGCAAGGGTGCCCAGGTTTCCGACTAATGTCAACAAAGAAGCGACAGACAGAAGGGTAGCCTCCAAAGGAGCACCGCGTATACCGGTACTGGGAGGGGGAATATCAACGCTTTCGTTCTTTGTGTTTGATAAAGACATGATTGACGTTCAGTTCACCGTCAACAGTACTTGACAGGCTTCTTATCGGCTTAATAAAGTCGTGTTTGCGTCTGTAAGCAACTGCGGTCTTCTACATTGAGGTAAACATTGACGCCCATTTAATTTCAATGTATAATGCCTTACAATTTAGTCCATTTTTTTAGTTTCGCAATAGGATTTGAATGGCACCTCCAAATGTCTTCGCAATTTTTCGTTTCCAGTACATGTACTTGATTCAAAACGTACTTCAGGCTAAAAGCCAAGAGTTATACCTTGGAAACTGTTTACCTTACACTGGGCACAAACTCTAGGGACTGCAATCCATACAGTGATCAAATCGCACGCAACAAAGAATTTAACATTAACATCAGTGCTGTCACAATTCCATCACTCCAGTTCAGCAACGTTTCACTGCGGGCGTGTCTCGTAAGTGATTTATGTTGGCTAAGTTGCACTTCTTCACTTTCGACGTGGTATAACTAATCAGGAACACAACTCAGGAGACGTGTTACAACCACGAGTCCTCTTTTCGGTTTTCTCTGTCGGGTAGTTCAACTGCGTACAGTATTTTGCGGCGAAAATGAGGCAGTGGTAAAGCAAAAAACAGCAAATGGATTTCCTTGTCGACTGTATTTGCATTAAGCACTGTTTCCAACTCCAAAATGACACCTTCGACGAAAAATCGTCTTGTGGCCGGACTTTTTTCTAAAGTGCCTGTCTGCGCGTCTATTCTTCGTGACCAACTATGTACACAATCGCGCGTCGCACGGTAATGTAAGTATGCTGCACCGGTTCAGTCCCGTCGCTACTATGTAGAGACTGGTAGCTAGCTATATTTTAACGCGTGCAATTAGCCCTGTCAATTTGGATGCTGAATATTTAAATTTTTGTCAGACCAATTACGTTGCAGCGACAAGCGAATAAAACACAAGTAGGGGTGCACCCTCGTAATTAGGCCAGAAATATGTCCGCCGAGCTCATTAATAAAAGTTGTAGACTCAAAATATTCTATATTAGAGAGTCCTGAGAACCATGGAACTGAGGAATTGAAGAAATATGAGACTGGACATCTGGGCCGGACTCAGGGCTTCCAATTCTGAGCAATTTGGATGCAATCGGGTTTGAAAGTGGCACTATTTGAGCCATTTTGCTGAGGGAGGGTTTTTCAAAATGGCTACTTTTGTGGACAGGGACCTTTTCTGCATTTTAGGGGTGGTCTGCTTCTGGTGAAAATTTCTTAAAAATTCATTGGTCAACCCCCCGAAAATTGAAAGGAAAATGAAAGAAGACATGTGGAAAATCATTTTTCTGTCCAGCCTGAACACCTGTGAGAGTTGTGAGTATTTTTAAAATATTTGTGAAGTATGGGGATTTATCACTGCTGTCTATGGGAATTTATTTGTAGTGGTGCACCCGTAGGGGCCCACCTATCCATAGTACGCCTCTTTCGATCACAGTAAGGTAATATATGTTTCTATGATTTTCATTGATAAATCATGTACGGCGATTTATTTCAAATCAGTGGTTAGGCCAAGAAAAACACACCGGCTTTTATTCTTTAATACACTGAGTAGCACTGCACTACTATGGAGAAAATCCTATGTGAACAATAATGTTCAGCTCCAGTTTCCAGTTGAAATTCTCATGAAATAGCAATATATGACATTCTTTGCACATTGTTTTCTGCTTTACCTTAGAGGAAACAAGTTGCACGTCAAATAGACTATGAAAAAAATGATGAAAACAGTTCAGCTCCAGAGTCAAAATGGAAATAAAATTCTCATGAGGTAAATGATACACTATGCACATTGTTTTCTGTTTTAGCTTATAAGAAACAAGCTGCATTTAACACATTGAGGAAAAATCCAGCTCAGAAAATAAAATCTCCTCTTTGGAGATTTGTTCTTGGTAAGTGACGATCAACGATGCATGAGTTGTTACATGTATGGTTGTCATAACGCGATGCATGTCCATCGCCACCGCACGTATCGCCACTGCCTCGCCAACACTGAAACAGACTGGCCCCTCACGGTTTGTTGCTCAAAAGCTTATCAACTTGTATACTAACGCAGGACGCAAGACTACTTCACTTGTCTGGTTCACAAACGTGAATGGGCCCGGGTCCGAATCAATTGGCTACGGCCGGAAATTACGCGGAGTATTTGGCAGCGTCCACTGCTAGTTCCCATACAATCACGCATGTATCAAGCCGCATCCAATTAACTGATTCAGACACGGCCTTCGTGTGATGATACACGAATGAAGTCTGACCAGAGAACTCGACTGAAATGTGTGGAGGCCTAGGGGAGATTCATTTACCGTAAGCTACATGTCACTCAATTTCACCTATCAAAAACACGTTAAAATTACGCAGTAGCAGAATTCCTTCCGATCAAGTAAGTTTGGCGGCTTTTGGAAATCGTTTTATGCAAAATTTAAAAAAATCTTTATTTTGCCGACGCGTAGGTCACTACGGCGATGCGCGCATTGACCAGAAACCGGAGACTTTTTTGGCCTTATTCTGTTAAAATTAAGATGAATACACAATTCGTAGTGGATTTTTCGAAGAAGACAAAAAACCAAATATGCTATTAGCTCCAGCTTACATACACTCGGCAGGATCCTGCCGGATTCATTACCCGCTACCAGGCCCCTCCGCTCGGAGGACGCCTGTAAGACGTCTGGAGACTACATACGGGACAGGAACCAGTTTAACTTGAAGCATGTCAGCTGAACCGCAAACAGGTGCGTCGTGTGCGTCAAATGGATAAACTTCCATACGAACATCCCAGTGTGAAAGCAGTGTTCTGTTGAATACCAAGCTCAAAACTTTATTCTGTTTTGCGAAGACTGCCATGCCGTGTACGAACTGAATTGTGATTGGTCCTTCCTATTCCGAGTGGTGCGTGTTTGATCTGGTCGCTCAGGGGAAATGTCAGGGAAAACCCAGCAAAACTGAAATAAATCCCCTCTAAAATGTTGCCTTTACTTCCAACTGCTGACTCTGTTACTTTGGAGGTACATGACAAAGACGGGCAAAACTTTGGCAAAAAATTAATTTTTATAGTTTTCAAGTTATCAAAAGGGACTTTGAGTGTTTAAATTCTAATTGGTCGGGAAATGAGGGGCAAACAACTTTTTCTGAGCTTGATTTGATCGATTACTTTTGGGGTCCACCTGCCCGAGTCAAGAGCCATTTAACTGGCTTCTGGCAGTGTAGTGGGATTCGGTGCGCATGCGCACCAACTAAGTGAGGGGCATGAACGTACGTGCGCGGAAAGAGACAGTTTAATCGAGCCTGATAGGTTAAGAATCTGCTTGCACGCGGTTTGCCACGAGCGCCAAGTCCATATATGGAGTTTTTGGACAGCTATATAATAAAATGGACGGGGTGTTCGAACAAATAAAAGTAACATTCTATAAGATCGTTGAAAATCCGTTGTATATTGTTGATAATGTCCTCGCCTGCTGTTCGGGCATTAGTCGCGTCTATCCTCCCGAGGTCTTGACCGGCCAAGTACATATATTTTCCCTAATTACTTTTTCGGGTAGTAGCCATGTGTTCTTTCTCCTTCTTTATTGTTGGTCTAATTGTGTATTTTTCTGTATTTGTATCTTGTGCCATCAGCAGCGTATCCATTTTTTGGTGTTTGGGATTCAATTCAAAGAAAATGTGGCTTTGGGCTCATGCAACATAACAACATGCTTGCTTTTATTTGTTGACGTTGTTTTCTTAGGCTTTTGGTGCCAACATCATAAATAAATGCACCTGTTACTTTCTTACTCACCTATTAAATTTTCTCTGTAAAAACAAAATCCGTCAAGAGGGGCAAGTTGCCCCCTGCCTGCTGCTGGACATGGCATAGGTGATAAAGATATTTAGTCCCACACAAAGGCCACTCCCACCATCTCAATTTGTTGCATCCAACTGACGTTTCAACGGGTCTGTGCGGCTGTGTTGCCGCTGTAAGCGTTCATTACAACCGTGTTCAGACTAGGTTTACGGATACATGTCTTCAACATACGTCACCATCCTTTTCCCACGCCATCAGATTCAAAATAAAAGAAATTCACGAGTACACGCATTTAATTTGGGGGGGGGGCACTGGCCAACTTGTTTAAAGAACAATCGTTACACCTGTAAGATGTTGTCAGGGCCTTGTAGCCAAGGGAAACAAAAATGTATTAAATGGATTCCTGCTAAAAAATCATCAGCGCGTAATGAAGTTTTAAATTCTCCGTAAAATTTGTCTTGTCACCACCCAACCAGGTAGAAACGTTCCAACCTTCAACCGTGCAGCATCTGAATTCTGGCAATTTGAATTAGCGAACCTCGAAAGTATAGCAAAACCATTACAACTTAGGCCGAAACAACAGTGCTTCAATCTCATTTAACAAAGCACACATGAAAACAAAATTTGCCAAAAAATTTCGTGCGTAAAAAATATGTAAGGTCTGCATATGCTAAACTATTTAATGCTAACCATCATGCAAAATGCACAAACGCGATTGGTTGGAAGAAAAATGGCGAGCATACATGGTGTCACGCATTATGTATAATACTTTGAACAAATGAAAAAGCAGTTTAAATGAATCTTGCATTTAACAAATGAACTGTCATTGAATTTCGTATGCTGATGGTGAGGCAAAAGATTCGAACATAATAGCATGCTAAGGAAAGAAAAATATCAAACTAAAATTGGTACTTGTGATGAAACAAATTCAGGTTTAGTATGGAGCAGGGTTTGAAGAAAGAAAGTATGAATGAAGGTGAATACTTTATATCGGTTGCATAATAAATAGCGCTAGTCGTATGGGTGTGTGATTGTAGATAAAAAAATATGGTGAAAACCTCGTTTGCAGTGCGCTCAGATAGGCTCTTCTAAACATTCCAAGCCTAAACGTGTGCCACCAGATGTGCATTAGTTACCTCGACTGGATTTCTCTTGAGATGTACCGTAATGTGCCACGATTGCATCAAACTTGACATAGGAATTATCAAACAGGTCTTAGTATGTATTTGTACTTTTCGCACATTGTAACGCTACATTTCGTACAGAATCGCACAGAGAAAAATGGGTACTCTTGATTTTGCCGTTTGTTGCTCTTCGCGAATGTCACAAT